ATTAGATAATTAGCCGCGTTTCTTAATAACAATTACTTGCAAAACTACGAATTTGCCTTGCACTGGTTACATAAGCGTATGGCGGCAATTGTTTGCATTTTTTATTATATTCTCATTAAAATCTTCTTCTGCTTCGTTAATGCTTTAGGTTTATCAGTTTAATTTAACCTAGTTTTGATCATTTAAAATTGCCACGTTTGGCCCCCATGGCCCTATGGCTTGGTAAAAATTTTCATTTTCATTTTCTGCATTAATTTTCATTAATAATAAAAAAATAATCCAATCCATACATTTATACATATCTATTCTCTGTAGAGAATATATTCGATTTGGCAAATGCTTACAACACATAGAAATATGTATTCATTAAGGGAAAAATTTTATATTGTTTTCGTAGCAAAATTCGAACACACCAAATAAATGCAATTTTGATTTGAACACGTTTCGCCATCGTTTCGGCAAGACTTCTGAAATATTTAGGCGATATATTGATGACATTATGTCAAAAGATCAATTGAATGAGCCCAATGGCTCGCAAAACTTTGTAAAGAGCAAATATAATTAATTAATTAGGGCTTTAAAGCGCTAAAGCTTACAACTTGGAACTTGAACTTTATTCGAGTTTGAAATTAGTTATATCCGCTATAGGATAACATATGGTTTATATAATCGGCAATCATTTACAAAGAGCTACCAGATCTTACACATATATACACGATATATTATCTCTCTCTCTCTCTCTCTCTCTCTCTCATGCCACTATATACCTTTCAAAAGCTAATGCTGATTAGATTGAAAGAATCCAGCCCAGTACACTATGCGCTGATTGCTAACGTATATTTTCTCATTAAAAAGTCACGCGTACAAACCCATTTTTCCATTATTTTGAAAATGACAAAAGCGGCGTAACTGCAACAAGTGTAATATGCAAACTAATTGTCAAAACGTTATGAAATTTTTTCAGGGAATGAAAGCTTCTAACGGTCAGTGCTCAAATGCTGCTTGTCGGTGTAAACTTATATACGTACGTAGCCGAATTAGCAGATTTTCATTTTTCTGTATTCTAATTGCTTGCGAATAATTATATTACGGAGAGATCACTTTTTCTCTGTTGTTTTATGCTAAAAGCATTCCTTCGCAATGCGAAAATTGATGCGAAATCAAGTTGACTATCATAAGAATACATTTGGGTTTCTTTTATGGCCAGTGATCGATGACAACGCCAGAATATATCTCTAAGTGTTAAATGGAATGGCAAGATTATCACATCCTCAATCTTCAGCAGAGGGTATAAGATAGTCACGCAAATTACAAAACTAGAAAAAGCTGCAGTCAGTCAAACTTTTTATGTTTAATTTTATAGTTATATTTATATAATATAAGCAATCTCTATATCAAATGGAAAGTCAAGTTAAATAATTAAGCAGAATTGCAACATCATTGGGGCGGTTTCAGAACTCAGTGGCGTTGTCCATTGCTTTTAAATTACAATCTATCATATATTTTTATTTAATAGCATGATTTGAGACTAGAATTATTAGAAAATCATAGCAACGATTAGTTGTAAAATGCAGTTATTATTTTCAACATATCACAAAGCAACAGGTATCAGGCTTAGTCAATTTTTTCAATTTGAAAATTTGTCTTATCTTCTCCAGCACTTGAAAAGAAAATGCCCAAGTCTTTACGGCTATTGTATAGTTTAATAGTATTACGATGTCCGGCAAGCAACCCGAGGATCCAGACCGTAAATTGCCCTCTACTGCTGAATGAACTTTTCTTTTTATACCCATCACCCAAGGACGGGAGTAACATTCACTTTGTCAAACTGTTTGCAACGACTAGAAGAAAGCTTCAGACACCCCACAAAGTCTATATATATTCTTGATCAGCATCAAATTTTGAATTTTGATTTCACCATGTCCGTGTGTCCGTCTATGTAAGTTCTGTTGTAAACATTTTCCTGACCGCAAAAATTAAGTTATCGACCTCAATTTTGGCAGAAATATTGCAAGTTCTTGTACGAAAATTGATATTGAAAATGGGCGAAATCGGTCGCAGGGCTAATATGAAGGATACTATGTGACGTGAGGATACCGCATACACTATAGCAGACAAGTGTATAAAAATTTGAAGGCATATTCTAGGCACGATACTGTAGCGTTTTGTACAAAAATGGAAAATATTGACTACGCCTAGCCAGAGTATCAAAATATAATTTTTTATTCAGAACTTTTTTAAGGCGCAGACACAAGCATCAAAAACCCCATAAACTCTACAAATTTTGTAATCAAAAGCGACCATTTATAGAAAATACTCGTACAGTCTATCTCAGTTTTTTGTTTTTTTTACATGTACATATATTTATAATATTTCATATTGACCTTATGCGTATTCCTGAATGTTACAAATGAAATGAAATAGTTAGCATGATAAACAAAAGGTGCTGTTTTATTGTTGACTTAATCGCTTAAAACAAGTAAATGCGAATAAAATAAAAAAAAATAAATAAATTACAGTGTGAAACTAATAAAAAAATTCAATAAGAATTTAATAAAACTGAAGTGAAGATTAAGAACAGCCATGTAAATGAATAAGAAAGCAAAGAAAACATTTTCAAGCTTTGTAATCATGTGGTGTTCGTGGCAGAATCGGAAGTGTCTTAGACTACATCAACAACGTTTAGCATCTCCATCTATCATTCACTTATTCCCCTAAAATTCCATTTCCATTCCATTTTACTATCCTTCTACTTAAATATAAGCGGGTTTAATCTTCGCATTAGACTTCAGTGTAGGGTGTGTTAGTTGCATTGTTTTGCTCATGAAATCGTTACTTTTTAATATCAGTTATTTTTCGACAATCAGCGTTAAGAAAGGTTTCTTTGGTAAAATGACTACAAGTTTTACCTCATATCGTCGAAATAAGAATAAAAATAAAACGAATAATAATGACATTTGCTTAGTGGCGAATGAATTGAATAGTCATGGTGTGAACATAAAAGATGATAACACAAATTTACGACGGATACCAAGCGATGATCTCTCTGATTTAGCAGAAATGTTAGATGATGCCGATGAAAGCAATAATACAACCATAACCGATGCAACAATGCATTTAGGATCGAACGTTGGTGTACGTAAAGAACGCAACAGTCGCCGTAGTGTTGTTAGGTGAGATCCATTTTTTGCTTATGGTATTTTATTTACAAATATTTTATCGTTTTTGTATAATTTGATATTTTTCTGTGAAGTAATTTTTGAAAAATATGGGCCCTCTATACAATCCAGTGTATATAGTAAACGTTTCATCTTCAATTACGATTACGTGAATACTTAAGCAATTCAAAGAAATATTAGCTTGACATTATGTTGCAAGAGCGTTCGAATTTCAATTTGTTTGTATAAGCGTTAAAACGATTTTTTCTATTAAAAAGCTATTTTTAAATGTTCTGGATAGGCTAGACCTAGACTAGTCAATCACTATCCCATACCTACTATCCCATATCTACTAGAATCCAACATAAGGAAAAATAAAAATTACTGTTTTATTAAAGGGGCAGGTGAGCCTGGGAGGGGCTCCGACCATAGAAATAGACGTATGTTGTCCACATTTAGAGCAGTGAGCTAACACATAAAATCGCCGTACCCGTCCAACCTTTTTATCATCAAATAGTAAGCAGTAACTCTAATATGCTATTTGAGAGAGAGAGAGAGAGACAAAGAAAGAGAGATGTGGAGAATAAATCAAACGTTATTAAATGTATTACACCAACGGATAGGGACAATCATCAGGATCAGTCGTGCAGAGGGGCTTAAATCGATTTAGAAAACGATACTGGTATTGCGTACTTCCGCACAGAGTTAATGTTGCTTGTAGCATAAATGATGCACGTTATCATAAATGAAAATAGTTTTTATGAGAAAACCAGGGTCCTATTCTATTCATTGAGCAGAATTAATCGAAATTCAAAATACAATTTTTTTTTCTAGGTGGCATGTACATGCTTCTTGAATTTTTGCTTGCATAACCAAAAGATATTGAATTTCTATTCCTTCCAAGTGTTCATCAAGTCTTAGCTGACGCCGTCGAAAGCAAGCAGTTGGTTTTTTTCAAGTTCATCTCTAAAGAATGCGATTTTTAATGCGTTCCAATTCCTTTCTGATTTTGTTGCGCTTTATTTTTCCATGGCACGTTACAGACAGATTCGCAAAGACGGCGTATAGCTTCTATGCGATAACAAAAAGGCCAATAAACCGCAAGTATTGTCAAAATTAATAAAAGACAATGTAATCAATAGGTGCTTCCCAATGAATCTATTTAAGGTAAATATGCGACTAGTATTGCTCTTATGCGCTTCCTCGCTATTTTCAATGCAAAATGGAAAGGTGAGGCGATTTTCGTTACCAAAGGGTTTAAGGTAAGACAGACGGACATAATTTAATTGATGGAAATGAAGTTGAACATTGCAAAAATTAAGATGACTCACGCCGATCGCCGATGACTGGTTCAGTACTCAGTTAGCGTAGCATGTTTTCATGTACTCGCAATGTCAGTAAAATATAATACAATTCCATACAATGCGAAAAGCAGAATGCACTAAAAAGTACAAAAAAAAATCTCTGAACAGCATATTTAAGGTTATTCTTATTTATCTCAAAAAAAGAATAAAAAAAAAAAAACAAATAAATAAATGAATAAAAAAAAAAATGAAACCGGAAAATCAATATAATACAATGGCGTCGTATATCAATTAAATCGTCTAATTGCTTATTAGGTGAATAAAACCTTAAAATCTTGTATAGGTTTTTTTTTTTTTTTTTTTTTTTTGGTAAAAAACCAAATCATACTTGGTAGCATTATATACCGCTGTCTTGTAGAGTTTATTCAAGTCAGCTAAATGAAGTAAAGATGAAAGCCGAAAAACGATACCGAAAAATATTTTGCTCAACTAAATGAGAACGCTTTGCATTTTGTACACATTTTTCGTCTACTTTTAGCGCCAATACGCAAATGGACAATGATGTTACACCGGTTTATTTGGCAGCGCAAGAGGGGCATTTGGAGGTGCTCAAGTTTTTGGTGCTTGAAGCTGGCGGTTCATTATATGTACGGGCACGCGATGGTATGGCACCGATACATGCCGCTTCACAAATGGGTTGCTTGGATTGTCTTAAATGGATGGTAAGTGATAGTGTGTTAAATGAATGCTTACTAGTCGTATACAAGTGTTTTACGAAAAACAAAAGAAACAAAAAAACAAAAAAAAAAAAACAAAAAATAGAAAACTCATACATAGCGATATACGTTGAACGTTTCAAGTGAAAAAGAGTGTCGCTAATAAAATAAACCAAAATGTTGCCACAAATTCTCCATTCGATCTCTTTTTCATTTGGAGCAAAAAAAAACCGATTTCAATGACAACGTATACACCACAACAATTGCTTGTTTAACTTGTTTATAACCTTGTCTTCGCAAACATGCATTGCATGCAAGTTTATTATATGCTCGACAGTCTTAATAGCAATCTCTGCATACTCTCTTATATTATTTGTATATAACGTTGACGAGAAAACGATTGCGTCGTCATTTTCCGCACTTATATGCAGGTAGATACGTATATGTAGATGCATAGAAATTACAAAAAAAAGAAAAAAACGATTTAAATAAAGGTGTTTCTTTCCTCGACATAGAGGAAATAGTTTAAAGAAAATAGAGCATAGGGGTGCGGGAGCATATATCTAGATCAGAACCTCTTTTCACTTAAGAAACATTTCTTGCACACTCTCCTACTATCTATCCACAAAATTTTTATTCGTAACTGTTATGTCAATGAAAAAATACGCGAAAATTTCTAATCAAAATTCCAAAAATTCGTATGATTCGTATGAGCGTCATTTCGATCGATAACCCTTTGCAATTTTTTTGGTAATTTTGCTACGATAACCGTGAACCGTAAAATTCGCAGGATATCTGCCTTATTTGAATTGAAGTTAGCTTCACACCACAGAAAATGTTCTGTAGAGAGCGAAACAAATGACTGTTCGCGGCTAGCGGAACTTCTGAGTTAAACTCTCTTCCTTTTTATCGGGTCATCGTACAGAAAGATATTTGGCTATTAGTATAGCCCCGATGGAATATGAATTTTTTTCCTATTGATCAACTCTGGTCGTGTTGCCGTCATTGGGTGCTGGAACAGCTCCCAGGTATGTATACATGATTCCGTCCCAAGCCATCAAACCCAAACAATTATCTTACGTTGTAGCTTCACCTATGATTTTGTTCGTATGTCATTCATCTTTCTCTTCTTCTTTCATCTTTCATAATTACTTACTTTGTCAATCTGGGGAAAGTAATTTATAGTTAACCTTTGAATGCATATTGTTGCCAATTGTTTACATTCCAGTTCCATTTTTAATTTTAAAATTAACTTTAAAATTGCGTATTATTACAAGTGAACTTATACTGGACGATTCCAATGCAAATTTTTACCTGATACTGTTAAGTATTTAATCGAAGTTAAAGAACGATACTTGTTGAGTAGCAAGATTTCTTGATGACAAAAGATTGCATTTTTTTAGAATTTCTTTTTGATGCTTTCAGTCTAGAAAATAATAGTCAATCATGACCAATTTGTAAGATACAGTTTGTAAGAAAGGGGGAAAAGTATGGTACGTATAGTCAATGCACTTAGAATTTCCTATATATCTAACGTGTTTCTCTGGCTGTTGCCAACTAAATAATAAAATTATTACATCTTCTGCTGAATAGCTTTATCACATGTGAACGCGTAGAAATCAAACAGTTTGTCGAAAAACAGCAAAGATAGGAGAAACATAAAATGTTTATCGTTCAGGCTTTCACTGCCATCGGAAGAAACAGGAATACATAGGTAAACAAGATCGTCTGAGCATTCGCGACAAAAAATGTTGATTTTTGCGATACAACTCTTAATTACTGATAAAAAATTGATGGTTTACAATAAAATAGCTTGTACAAGATATTTGTTTCCGTCATGATTGCTTGCGCTTGATTAACTGAAGGTTACGCTTTTGAGATTGAGTTTAAGTTGAGGAAATAACGCGTATTTTGATAGTTTTGAAATGATCAAAACTTAAAAAAGTAATATTCATAACTGCGCGCAAAACAAACTTCCGCTAACGAGAACATCTATTAGATATTGCTTAGAAATATCGGGCATGTCTTGCTCTAAACATTTTTCACTCTATTTGACCGGATTAGGCACGTTAATCGTCAGTTTCGTTAGCTGCATGTGTATAAAATCTAAAAAGACTCCATAATTGAAATTCACATACATTACCGTTACGTTAACGTTAATTGCGTTGCTTGAAAGAAGACCCGAAAATGATCTTTGCTGGTGACATTCATTTGTAGCTCCACATTTGTTAAGTAGAATAAGCCATACATCGTTCTTCGCATCATTTGAGATCCAAATAAAATATTATTTATTTAGCTTTGGTTGGTTATGCATCAACTAATAACGTACGATTACGGGCGGTTCAATTGTCCAGCATTCTGACTTTCAACAGTTGCCTAGAGTATCGTAACAAATCTAAATTGAAATTATACGTAAAGACGTAAAACCACACCCCGTCCCGTTTTAGCTAAAAACTTTGGTTTCTCTGTACGGAATCTTTAAGATGAATATGTATCGCCTGGTCGTACTGACAGTGTCTGCAGCGATCATTATAAAATAAATTCAGCCTAGAAAAGTGTCAGGCGAATTGATTGTTCCTCTTATTTACCAGTTTAACGCAACAAATATCCTTTCTAAAGAAGTCATTGCTACGAAGAAGTCCCTGTCGTTAGAAGACTGCATACGGCCAGAAGTATAACTAAATCGGAAATGAATCCATCCAAAACAAAAGTCCCTGATTACATAGTTGTAAGATAAGCTAGATTGCTCTCAATATTGTGCTTATGCTTGGGAAACATTATCTCGGAATTCAACAGGCTTGATTATATAAAGTAATTTCGTTTACTGTTGTATAGACTATAACCTTGACTTCACGGTTTATCCATTTCGAGCAAAAGTGTTTACCCCAGCCTTGCTATTGCGGTTCCATTACGTTATATCGCAAAACTGATTCCCTTAAATATATGAAGTCTCTGCAAATTGATGCGATGTGGGTTCATTACCATTGATTGTGCCGCCATTGGTATTAATAGTTGTTACATTAGTATTGTATGGTTTGAAAACAAATTTCTTGGGGCTGCTTGGAAATTTGACTTCAGTAATGCCTTGATTTAGGCGCTCTCCGCGGTCAAGGAATGTCACGATCTTGTACACAATCTCTGCCAAAACTTAACTTTGCTTTGTAAAACTGCTATATATTTTTTCTTCTTCTCCTTCTGTAGTTCAATAAATCAAGAAGAGAAAATTCGCTGCAATGTGAACGTGTGAGTTTCTTTGTTTAAATCTTAATAAAGTTATTAATAAAGTTATTTCATTAATTTTTTCTATGCTCAAGTTGACTGCATATTCTCCAACGATACCGTCCAGAGGCGATATCGTAACCAATGAGGTGCGATTATTGCTAGTTGAAAATTCTGTATTTTGATTTTTTAATTTGCGTTTATTGTCAAGTTTTTCGACCCAAAGAAAATCTCTTGTGTTTTGTCTCACAACTGACATTTGCTAAACGACACGACCACAGTTTGGATGTGAATGGCAATCACTGAGAATTGGACTTTTCCGACTATTCATTACACTAAATGAGGACACTTAGGCGGGTTAAATTTCGCTCGTAATATTTTTTATCGTTTTTACAACGCTATACCGCTGTTCACTAGTATGCAAATGTCATTTAAATAATTTTTTTTTTTTTTGCGTTTCTTTACTTTATGCTATTAAGTTGTTTCATATTAACTTGAAATGGTTTTTGCATCAGCTAGAGATAGCCATTATTAGAGATAAAAGAAAAAGAAAATCTCATTAATCTTGATGATGTATGCACGCAACAAAAACGCTCAAGCTGAGAGAATATCCTATAATCGGAAAGAAAAAGTAGACGATAAATAAATAAATTGTCAATTAGTTGTTTAGCAACATTAGTAAGTCTATTGTTACCAGTAGCTAACAAACGTTTGATATATTTTTTATACATGACAAGAATCGTTGTATGCACTTCTCAACAAACGCATTCAAGCGAATGTTGAGGCCAGTGATTCCAAAATTCAGTTGACATTGCAACTATGAATGTGAAGAAAGTATCTCGGGCACATCAGTCGGATGAATAAAATCATTTTAGGTGTGATTTTTATTCAAGTTATTCAGTTATGAAGAATTTTTGTAATTTTCTTTGTTCTGCTGAGCGTATTTACGTACGACCCGCTTGCATTTTTCGCCGCAAAAGGATAGAACGTTAATTACAAGCAAAATAAAGGTAAAATATGTGTGTCCACGAGAATTGTCAGATAGGCTACCAGCCGTAATTAATGTTAAGTTAATTCATAATTTCACATTGATTGCAGCTACATATTGCGAGTTGTAACAATATTATAGTAAGATTATAGAAGATTTTGAGAGATTGAATGCATCTAATTTTCTTAAGCGTTACGCAATGTTAAAGTGATTCAATTTCAGTTCAATGTCTTCGATTATTGTCGGCACATTCACGAGGCAACTGTATAGATTGACAAAGCTCAAGTCAAAGGTACAGCAAAGGTATATATAAACCGATAGGCATAGAAAGAAGGGAATAGAAAAATGGTATAAAAATTGAACCGACTCGAGATTTAGCGAATTAAAAAGATGAACCGAACTGGAAAAATAGAATACTTAATAAGTAGCACTACGAATAGAAGGACAGTTGGACAGTAGCTGCCAGCATTGAGAAAATTTGTGAAAAGACCCCTGATCGAGTCAGAAAATTCAAATACATTGAAGATTGCAGAAACGTGGCAGTGACCAACGAACAGGACCGATGGGGTGACAAGGGTTAAAGGGGTTCGTGGGAACAGACGGCTTCACAGGAGTGAATGAAAGGGGAATAGACATATGTTCGGCAATTGATAGACGGTTTTAATAAAATGTATAGTCAAGGATTTAAAAAGGAGGGACGAAGGAAGGGAAGGAAAACAGCACAGGGTTCACAAGTGACAAGTCCAGCACGTAGATAGACTTTCAGGAAAGTGGACCAAACCGATTGTAAATTACAGGAATTTGATCTAACGCATAAACGTACGCACACCGACAGATGAAAATGTGGCAAAATCCATGTAGAGAGGCGGTCGGGCAGAAAGAAACGTCGTAGAAACGTCGAACGCGTTGATGGGCGGACAAATACTAACCAAGCTGACACGTGACTTATGCAGAGCGCAGAGACGAATGTTAAGATATTAAAGAAACATGAGTCCGATCGATAGGCAGGCGAAAAGACAAACCGATAAAAGCCAAGCGGTTAGATTGTAGGGCGGCCTGCTAAATCGGTTCAAGAATCAAGGGAATCTACATTTTACACGATTTTCATGCGTTTTTGTAAGCGTTACAAGGACAGACACATGATGTAAGTATGCGATTACTCATAGCAATGGGTATAAAATTGAGTAGAATCTCGTTTACTACTTCTTTGACCTCTCTATCTCTCGCTCTATCTCTCTCTCTCTCTCTCTCACTCTCACTCTCGCGTTCAAAGAGGAATCAATTTAACCAATAAAAACATGTTTACAGAGAATTGAAATGAAATGGGATTTGCTGGCAATCAAAATAGCTTCACTTCCATTCAAGCCATGTTCGTTTGCACATATAAAGTGGATGTAACTTGAATCACTTTCAGAGCTTTTGCAATCGTTATTTCTAAAATATTTTTAGTTAATCTGCATAGATGTTGGTTGATGTCCATTTTTCTATTTTTATTTTATCGCCTTTGTTTACAAATATTATGCAAAAGTTTGCGCATCACTGAGGCTTTAATGTAGACCAACCAGAAATTCCGCCTTTCTAAATTGATCTAAATATAAACATATGTATGTGGCTCTTATTAATGTTAGCAACTTTTACCGCTAAAAGCAGATTTAAAATGAATTCAAACTTACGTACGTAAAGGATGCGATCTTTTAATCTTTGTCAATATATCGATTGCGTATATTCATCTCTTTATTACGTACATATATCACATGCATCATTCATTCATCTGCCAGTTACAACTATTGAACATTGTCAACTTCACTCGAAAACTGCTATTGAGAATCAGCAGGAGCTGTGCGTTTTGTTATTCCCTTTGCCACATCTGCGGTACTAGACTGTTAGATCGCAGTGACATTCAGTCCTAATATGAACTTAAATATTAAAATGTCTTTTCTGAGATACATACGTATATATTATATAATTTTATGTTAAATATTTTGATGATATTTTTGACTAAAACTTACAAAAGTGTTTCAAAAAAACCAATATCTGGTTATCAAAAGTAGAAAAATGTACTGAGCTATTGTAACGAAATGTTGATGTGAACGTCAAACTTTTAAAAACCAGATTACGTTATCATTACGTGTGTATAAACATTTATTTTGCCTATGCATGCATACGTAAACAAATTATGAAGCCAGTTAGAGGTGACTGCTAAAAAAACATACAAGAGCCTCCAATATGGGATAAGTATCTACAGAAGATTGGAAAATGCAATTTTTGACGATTTGAGGCAATCAAACTTTAGATTTATATTTAAATATTTTCAGGAATCAGTCAACGAATTGATAGCAAATATATCTGAAATCTTCTCAACATGTATTTGCCAAATATGATCGCTTTCGTAATTCTTATTAAAAGAGTCGATGCACATTTGCACTTATGCATATTTCAGAGTGTTGCAAACCAACTTGGTGGGCTATTATTCCGCCTCCTTGAAAATCAAAAATCGAAAAACCGTAGTGTTACGTATTGAGCCTAATTGTAGGATAAGCTTTCGTTGATCGCAGGGGTGCTCGCTTGTTGAACAAATTAATGTTGACCTCCTGAAGGGTCTATAGTCTTTAATTGCTATTTGATTGATCTAAATTTTTGAGCTAACACTTATTTTCACAAAGATTAATCTTTCACTCTCTATCACTCTTGTTGTAAGCTATTCGGAATATTTTGAAACTTTTCCTTTTTATATGATTCGTTTTGCACATGGCTTTGCAATTTTTTTTACAATATTAAGTTTTTACCATTTTATGGACATGGCATGCCCACTTCCACAGTCTCAGTTTTCTATCTCACTTTTTCACGGTTCTGATTTAAAGTGCCACGCTAGTCTAGTATGTATAACACATTAGTGAATAAGTTCATAGCATGACATATTTTCAAGGTAATAGGTTTTGTTTTAGTGAGGGAACTTTTTCAGTTTCCAGCCCAATAGGAAAACACGAAATTTCGTGTGGCCATGTTTTGGTGAGAAAAACACATTCATTCTAGTCTTATGAGCACCGATGATACTGATCGCTCTGGTCGAGAGAGTTCGCCAATTCTGGCTGCTCCAAGCGTAACAGGAAATATCAGCTATTCTCTCTCATTTGCCAGTGACCCATAAAAGAATGTCAAAAATTAAAATACAATCCTCCAAATCGTTGTGGGCATTTGAACTTAGATAGAACCGCTGAATGGAGTTTAGTGGAAGTGTAGCATATTTGAATGAAATTTAGCAGGAATGCAACTAATCGCAGTAGAGACCACTTCCAAGATATGAATTCTTCATCTTCTTCGTAAAATTGTGTAGCTTTAATTCCTCCCCCCATCAATATGTGCACTTTTCAAACTCGCATACGTGCTCTAGCTGATATGCATAACTTAAGATTGAATGTTTTCGCCAAGAACATCTTTGCAGTCCCCTTTCTTTTTGGAGATTTCCCTACACCAAGAAGTATTTTCGACAAATAAATATAAGCAATCAATATGAATCGCAAGTTGGTTAAGTATATTTTATTATACGCTCCCCAAAGCGCACTTTTACATGACTTTTGAAAAAACTAACATTTCCTCTCCCCTGTGCTAATGCTGTGCATATTTTTTTGACGCTTTTTTGGAAAATTGAGCTATACGATCGTTATGCGTTGTATACTTGAGGCGAAGTACATCACAAAGCATTTAATATATATTCTACATCACTTATATATGGTATAAGCGGTATATTGTATCCAAGTATGCAGTGTCGAAAAGAACTTGAGATAGACTTATTTTTTGTTACATCAATTGAGTGATAATCAGTTTTTTAATTGATTTCAGTCTGCTGGCTGATCCACCCTTTTGATTCAGATCGGAGCGTCCTTAGGGTCACTTTCCATAGAAAGCCTTTTTTTAAAAAATTAAATCGTTGCATTGAATAATTGCAGTTAAGCCTATTTGTCTGCGTAACGTCTGCCCCTGCATTTTGGGACGAAATTGTAGTATAAAAATTTGGTTAATATTCGTACACTGAGAGAAAAAAAAAATTCCCATATGTAATACCTGTTGACAACTTTCAATGAAAAATTAATATACTCAACTCGACTTAAATGTTTAATTTCATGGTTCCTATGGAACGAAACTTAGATTAAATGTAGGACATTTGATAGTCGACTATGTCCGACCGTAACATTTTAACTTATCATGGTTCAGCATAATGTGATACTACAACAACAATAATTTATCATAACCGTTTATTGTGAAGGAAATGATGCACACATTTTTGTATTTATTTTCTGTTTAATGTTTAGGTTCAAGATCAGGGAGTTGATCCTAATTTGCGTGACGGTGATGGTGCGACACCGTTGCATTTTGCCGCATCGCGTGGACATTTGTCTGTTGTGCGATGGCTGCTTAATCATGGCGCAAAATTATCACTGGATAAATATGGCAAATCGCCCATTAATGATGCAGCTGAAAATCAACAAGTTGAGGTGAGTAGAAATTTACGCATCGACAAACGCATGTTTTGAGTAGTTTTAGAAACAACTTTCAAATGTTTTTTCAAACAACTTGTTTTTCTTGAACAATTGCATTTAAATAGTGTCTCAATGTGTTAGTGCAACATGGTACATCAGTTGAACACAATATGCGTCAAGACAAGAATACCTCACAGAGACATAGCAAACCGTCAACTAGAAATCAGCAGCAGCAGCAGCAGCAGCAACAACAGCAACAGCCGCACCAGCAGCAGCAACAACAACAACAACAACAACAACAACAAAAGCAGCAATCGCATTCAAACATTAACGGTCATAATAGCCATGGCAGCAGCAATTCGGTCAGTAGCAAACAAACCAGTCGCAGCAACACAATCAAATCAAAATCATCTTCAACGATGAGTTCGGATCCAGAGCCTTTCTATTTACATCCGCCTTCGACATTAGCAGTGCGTAGTAAAAATAGTGAAACCTTATACTCGCCGCAATCACAACACTCGCAAACTTCATCGGAGAAAATCTATAATGGTTCTCTAGTACCAACTAATGATGGCCTCTACGTTAATCCGATGCGTATGAATGGTATTTACGCGCCGCCGTCACCTAATGGCAGCATGTCTGGCGATTCATTTTTTCTGCATGATCCACAAGAGGTTGTATACAATCGTGTCAGAGATCTCTTCGATTCAGATAGTAGCAGCGTCAAGCATTCGAATCCTCATAAACAACAGCAACAACAAAAGCATCATCAACATCATCAACAACAACATCAACACGGTTCACATCATCATAACTCCAAAAATTCTTCATCAACGAATTCAACACCTTCCACTACGGCTATGACCATACAAGCCGATGTGCATTCCAGTTCAAGTGGGGGTGGCAGTGGTTCTGAGGAATCTATATCCATAGCGTCCAGTTTAAATTCACCCAAAGTTCAATTACATCGTAAACACAGTTTTAATCATCAAACCAATAATAGCAACAGCAATAACTATCAACATCAGCACAACAATAATAATAATAATAATAATAATAATAATAATAATAATAACAATAGCAATGTACTAAATAATAATAAAACAAATTCTACTGCCAACAATAATAATAACAATGCATCAAATAATTTATTAATACATCAAAACAATCATAAAAATAATAATAAACATAACAACAACAGCAACAATAACAATAACAGTAATAATAAATCAAATTCGCATGATCATGATTACGAGGATATTTATTTGGTGCGTGAGGAGGCTCGCAAAAATCAACAAAAAAAATATATTATTGGTCGGTCAAGATCTCGAGATAGCGGCTCACATTCGAGATCGGCGAGTGCTTCATCAACTCGCAGTACCGATATTGTTATGCAATACAGCAATCATGTAAGTATTAATAAAAAAGTTAAAGAGAGTTTTTAATTTATGAGCAAATAATGAATAATGCTTATCATCTCTTCCAGAATCTCAATAATAAACGAGACGCGAATGTATTGAATCGTAGTAAGTCGCAATCGGCGACCGGACTTCATAGTAAATATGAATCAGCTCTACGTTCGAAGGACAATTATAGCGGTAAAAATATCAACTTGAAAAATCAATTAAATAGCGGTATTAAAAGCGATACGTATGAGAGTGTATGCCCGCCAGAAGACGTTGTTGAGCGAACTAAACAGGCGAATAAGAATTCCGTTATACGTAACAATTTGGATAATAGCAGCAACAAGCATTACAGCAGCAACTCATTGATATCAGCAAATTCCAATTCTAGCGTTAACAACATTAACAACACCAATAACAATCATAATACACATAGTGCCAATAGCAGCGGCAATAATCATAATAACCATCATAACAACAGCAACAGCAACAGTAACAGCAACAGCAGCAGCAATAGCAGCAGCTGTAATAATCCCAATAATATTAATCGTAACTTGAAACGAGTCTCGTCAGCACCACCAATACAAAATCATGCAGAAGTCGGTAAGTGGGTCACAAGCACATATATCCATACACACACATTCCATATTCTATGTGTTGAAACTTTTATTTCGTGCTTTGAAAGAAGTGAAAGATTTCGAACCGAAAACAAACTTTCAATTCATTCAAATTTCATTAGAATATGAATGAAAATATATATATAGATGATTATGTATATTTTATTATTTATATGAATTTATTTTGACATTATATAGTAAATGGCCCGCCGCCTCCACCTTTACCGCCACCACTACGATCACCGGCTCATCAACACGGAGATCATCATAACAATAATTTCAGTTTCAATTCAAATCAATCAAATTCTTTGAATTCATGCCATCGCACGTCCAATAGTAACTTGCATTCCGATACCGGAATGGATTCAGATTCTGGCTTAGAAGTAATTGAAGAGCCGAGTCTTAGACCATCCGAATTAGTCCGCGGAAATCACAATCGCACTATGTCAACTATTTCAGGTTAGTATTGCCGCTAAGGAAGCCCTTCTTTGCTTGATGTAATGCCTTGTATTGTGTTGAAAAAGCACGAATGGTACTATGAGAATTTCTTTGTCGTTTCTTTTTTTTTTTCTTAATTGATACCGTTAAGGATATAGTGTATAAACTAAAAAACATTTAAGTCGCCAAGGAATAGAGTAAGTTGTTTTTGTAATATTTGCGCCACCTAAAAGTATATGTTAAATTTTCGATTTTAATTCACAATCCAGGTATCGGTTTTGAACGATTGCGTAAAATTAAAGTTTGAAAACATAGCTACAGAATATGAATTAAAATGCAAGCTAGACACACTATTGTAAGGATCGATCGCAAGAGAAATTCGGAAATGTATTCAATGCAAATTGTCTAAAAAGCGATGACGACTACATTAAAAAAATGACTACTTCAATGGCTTCGCAAATTTACCTTTATATACAAAAGTTTAAGCATAGCTTGGAAATGTTTCGTATCCAAACAAAACTTACTTCAACTTAACTAAGGCCAGCTTTTATTGTTTTTTGAGACCTTATTAGCTACTCAGTATTAGGGTTCTGGTTAAGCTAATTCACATACGCGAAGGACTTTAACAGCAGGTTTTTTTCGAAAACTTTTCAACTGAACTTTATCAACCATGTTATGAACAAGCTTTACTAAAGCCGATTCTTATTCTAAACAGTCTGACATCGTATATATGCATATTCTGATGGAAAAACCGTAGGATTACAAAAGAATTGAGTACTTAGTAAGTAAACACAGCCAGCAGCTATCATCGCTTGTCACAATTGGCTGTTTCCTCTTCCAAAAATAGTGTAAAATATCAAGTGCGTAAATCGAGCAACATAATAGCATATTGCCGATCAACAGGAAAATCGATTTAACCACTGTACTCATCTGCACTGGATGTAGGGAAATCACGTGACCTACTCCTAAACTGTTGTTAGACCTTTCTATTCACGTTCGATTAGCTTCAATAGGCTTCTATGCGTCACGCAACTAACATAAAACGAAAAAAAAAAAATGTAAAATTATCAGAGTAATGGGTTTAAATGTAAATACCCTTCGATCACTTTATCACACATGTTTTTCGAGCACATTATTATGTTATGTTGAATCTATTACATCTCTATATACATTATATTAAATCTAAGACGTCATTACAGTGGGTGATGATTTTGTGAAAGCAATATTGTCGTATATTTTGTGCTACAGTTACGCAACAAATTGCTTTCGCTTACATAACATGTTATGTAAAATTTTGTTATATATTATTTTAAATGAAATTCACATTTTTTTAGTTTCGTAATATATTGAGCAGGAGTAAGTGATAAGTATGTACACTGATAGAAAATTGTTTGTTTAGATATTTTTATATCCACATTATATGGAATAAATTAGAAACACAAATTCTTAAACAAGTAAATAAAGGAATCACTCTAATAATAATATTCGCCTAACGGTATTTCGATTATAATCTGAGAACTTTGCTTAAAAGAACAAATTCCGTCTGTCACGTCTAAGCTTCGTTAAGTTGACGCATCGGTTTGCCCACATTTATGAAAGAGGTAAGCATTTCTAGTTAGCGTTTCCATCTGAATTTTCGCTGTCGCCTTTACCGAACGATATTTGAAAGAGCGTATATCATATCTTTAGATGATAAAATCGCCGGTATTTTAATTTTTTTTTTTTTGTTTAGATCGCATCGAAAAAAGCATTTGTAGGCAAAACCGACTTACTCACTTAACCCGAGTTCCATCGAGCACTACGAATCGCGCTACAATAAAGTAATATTCACCAGAAAGCCGTTCAAAGCCTATTGAAACGGTGTATATAATATTTTCGTGAGGACCTTTGTTTCTGCAATATAAGCACTTAATCAAATAAGACTATTGTTGATCAATCGTAATTTATGACAACTTCCCATCTTCGGGTTATAAATGGGTTCCTTGCCTGGGCAGACATCCCGTAGAGAATGGATATATTGGAAGACGTTTATTGCTTTTTGTAAGCTTCCATTTGACTAGTTTTTCTAACATAGACACTATTTTTAAAATAAGTTTTTTTTTTGAGTGAAATAAAAAAGTAGAAAATAAATTCTGTCTCAGTCATTTTTATGTGGCTATATACCCAGACTTGTGTTTTCTACCCGATTTTGAAATAATACGATTCACCAATAAGGACAAATACCCTTTTTTACGCGAACTTTTTGTTCTAGCATGAATCTTGAAAAATTTTGTTTTCAATTCTAATTTTTTGCCATTGTGTTACGAGAAGCTTGATACAAGTGGAGCAATGTCGTGATCAGAAGCCGGTCGGTTTATGCCCATACATTTAGGTGGTAGTGGGGAAGTGCCCGAATTTTATGATCACTTATTTCTTTATCTCATTGTATTTCAATTTGAACACAGCACTGTCGTTACTCAGTATTTATGTTGCGTTAGAGTGTTGAGTTCGCAATAAGCAATTTCGATAAATCAATGAGGACGATTTGCCCGAATTCCCGACAGTTTATGGTAATAAAGAATTCGATAATGACGAAGTTGAAGGTGAAATTCAGCTATTTACGGCTAATTGAATTTTCGAGGCTTTGAAATTTGCTTCAAGTATGCAACAACATTTTCTTACTCATGATTCTGATATGGAGTGTACGTTAAAATTTCAACGTAGTCGCAAGTTTTGTGTAGCTGGATATCAAGAATTATACAAGTGAGCTAAAAATTCAAAACAACAGCTGCTATTAACAAAATTTGGAACAACAAAACAGCCAAGACATGCAGTTAACGAAGTTGAACGAAATTCTTCATTTAAATCTAATCCGGCAGTTGTGCTCTTCATATCAGGCAACGATAGCCTTTTTGTGTCCAGACCATAATAAACTTGTCATCGAGTGCTGATAAACAATTGCTAAATTGCTTTTTACTCCTAAATTCAATTTAAATTTTTATATGTTGTACTTATGGACTTTTGCTCTCGCTTTCATAAATATGTAATATGGAGTTTATTATCATTCTTTTTTACACGGTTTTTGGAGGACATATTTTAAGGCTTTTCTTACACGATTTTTTAAAATTGTGAAACATATCCCCCAAATGTACCATATGTCGCACGTTTTTCTTCACACGAATTTTTTTGCATGGTATCTACCGTGCAAGAAAAAGAGTTGAGTGTACATAAAAGCGTAGAAAGCTAAAAATTTTAATATGTAATTAATTGGGTGTTTTTTTTAAATGCCCAGTATTTTTATGCATAATCACACGAAAGTAACACGAGTAAGGGCGTAATGGCCACCGTTTTGAATACACAAACGAGGTGACTATATTTCATTGCATTACCATCTGAACGAAATGTGTGCCCAAAATTGTAGCAAGATCGAACATTTGGAAATGTTTGAAACATCAATTGAAAGTTTCCACGACAGGACAGCAAATAAGATAATAATTTCATAAACGTAATTTGAAAGCAGGTATTATTTCAATGATAATTTATACGTTGAAAAATATGGTTATGTGCCCTGATGGATAATTTATCTGACTACGGGTCAGAAGACTGCCAGATTCAACTCCTCGTAGGGTTGCTTATGAATCGGTGAACTTTTTAATTTCTTTTAACAATTCGGAGCAGATTTGAGAGGAGATTAACAGCCTAAACCAATTTCTTACACATTGAGCACCCTCAGCTTTCATATATTATATATTTACGCAAAAGTCCGTGGAATAAAATTTTTAGTTCACTTATACAAACGCTTATGTAAAAAAGCTTTTATACATAAATTATTATATAGTCACTGCGCTAAGGAGGTCCACATTGTAAATAAATTACTGTGTTCTTAAGAAATAGAAGCTGGGCTGAGTTCAAGGCATTAGGCATTCTCGACATTTCTCCTAGGACGTTGAATGAGACAACAGTTTACGATTCGGAATGCACGGAAGACCTAAACACAACTGTAAGCGATGTGCTATCTAAGGTGGTTACCTTCCGCTACAATGCTACAGAAATACTATAAATGAGCAGCACCTACGCAATTTTCTCATTGACTTTATTTCCATACAGAGAGCCGATGGCGGTCGGTAGGGCAGTTTTGTGGTAAGAGTAGTCACCACATAATTTAATATTGAGGTGTTACACTGGCCTTGCCTTACCCGAAAAGCAGGAAGAGTTCATACTCATGATGCCGCTATGCTATATTGATAATCCTGCGTCTTAATGATTGCGATAGTTTCACACCGGTTAACGCTTCATGCTTAACCTGTGGCACGTACCCAAGTAGAAGACCTATCTTGTGCAATCTTGTGCAGATATAGTTTGTAATATTGTGAATAAATAGTTTCAATTATTCGTTGGACATATGAAATGTTAAACATAACGGAAAATCTACAAGATTATATTCCAATATAAAATTAGTCATAAAAAAAAAAAAAAAAAACGAGACTTAAGTTTGCACCGAGGTGACTAATACTGTGTAATAAAAGTGGATATGCTGTACAACAACGCCAGTAGCAGCGGTCAATCAAACTGAACTGATCGTAAATAGAAAGCCAGTTGAAGAAAGTATTTGGCTTTCACTTGTTAATATCTGACGATCATAAAGCAGCTGGGAAACTTTTTGAAGATCGTATGACCTCTTTTGTAACCTTATATATCGAATAGAAGGCGTAGCTTTGTAGTGATGTTTGTACAATAAGAGAAAGCATAGACTGTCGCAACTCTAGTAAGATTATCACATAATTTTTAAGGTTCATTAGTTACGATGCACTCTATTTCCGTTGTAAAACTTATCGAAAATCATTTATTATAATCCGAAAAAATACGTCCAAGCAACTAATTAACCGTTATACCACAATGCCCAGCCACGTGTGTAAATAAATTAATAGAGTTTGTATGTTCATCGTCAGAATACAACATTTTGAAGCGATTGGCATCTGTATATTACTTCTACATCTTCAGGACTTTTAGTAGATTTTTACTATTGACCCCTACATTTTTAT